GGAAAAAAAAAAAAAAAAAAAAAAAAAAACAAACAAAAAAAACACACACACATATTCTATATTATTTTTTTTTTATAATATTTTGAAATAAAAAATATATGTAAGTCTATAGAAAAAATATATTAATTTTTTTTAATTGACTATATTTTTACTTAAAGAATACTTAAAAAAATATAGGAATATTTACATATATAAATATACATATAACTTTTTTTCTTTCTCCTTTTTTTTTTTTTTTCTTGTTATTTATAATGAATATGAATGATTTTTGTGATAATAGAAAATCATGTTTAAAGAAAAAAAAGAAAATTGAAAAATGCTATAACGTATGGGAAAGCATTTTTAGTAAAACTACAGGTTGTAGCAAAGATGAAATTAGAAAAAAAGTTGCTAAAAGAAAAAGAGATAAGGAAAGACTATTATCAATTTTATACGGTAGTGTATTTAAAGGAAGAAAGTATCTATTATATTCAAGAAAGTGGAGAGGGAAAACATTAAGTGAAATAATTAATCAAGATAAAAAAAATTATTTGAATTTAAAGCATTTAAAAAATGTAGACAATAGCTATTTTTGTAAATTAGCTATTGGCTATGTAGACCAAAATGATAAAAATTATTTTAAAAAGAATGGAGAAAATGTATTTATGAAAAATGAAGTAAACACTATGAAAAAAGTTCAACCTACTTTTAATAATACAACTAATAAAAGAAAAGGAACTCACATAGAAAAAAGTGGCACAAATAATGATATAGAAGAAGTATATGATAGATTAAACTTTTTAGAAAAAAGAAGTTATAAAAATAAATACAAAGATAACAATAATTTAAGTATGAACTATCCATATAATAATCGTTTACCGAATGATAAATGTTATGAAGATAATTCAGACGAAAGTAAAGTAGTGAAATATAAATATTTACCTACTGGAGTTTTTTATAGTAGGGTATCAAAATCTTTTATAGCTAATTGGATAGATGATAAAACAAAAAAACAAATTAAAATACCATATAAAATATCAGAGTTTGGTGTTGAAAAGTGTATGATTTTGGCTATATTATCTAGAAATTTAAGAATAAGTAATTTGAATAATGTATTAAAATATTATGATAATTTAACATTAGATCAAAAAGAAAAAATGTTACAAGCTATTAGAACCACTCAAAAAAGCGAAAAATTATTCAATGAGATACTAAAACAGAATAACAAAGATATTACCAATATAGTAAATAGTAACAATGTAGTAAGCAAAAATAATGAAAGTGATCAAAAAAATATATCTTTAAAAAAAAATCTTATTGAAAAAAAAAAAATAAAACAGTCTTATAATAATTCAGAGAAGTTGCCAACAGGGGTATATTTTTACCAAGGTTCTTATGTTGCTAATTGGTGGGAAACGAATCAAAAAAAACAGTTTAAAGTTCCATTTAAAATATCTGAATACGGAATAACAAGAGCTAAAAATTTAGCCATTATTTCTAGATTAATCAGATCATCATCTGCTCAAGAAGTTAATTTACTTTTAACTCAAATGGAACAAAATAAAAATATTACAAAATTAAATTACACTACTATCTCAAATTTAGCTTTTAAATATATCAAAAATCAGCCAAAAAAAGATTTTTAAAATAATATATTTAATATTTGTTATTAATAGATGATTTATATTTCGTAAAATGCTTTTAATTAATACATTTGTTTACGTTTTATATCATTTGTAAAAAAAATAGTAGCAGTATGTATAAAACCATATATATACACAAGTGTGTATACTTTAAAATTGGTTAATAATAATATTGTATATTTTTTTTTTCCTTTTAGTTTCAAAGTTACATATTTTACACAATTTTCGGCTAGTAGAAAAAAAAAAAAATTACCTATTTATATTATTTAAAATTTTTTTTTTTTTTTATCATTTATATAGTTTAAAATAAATTTATGAAAATTTTCAACTTTAAAAATGTTTATGAATTTGTACTATTTTAATTATATCTATAAATAAAAAGTTGTAATGCCTTCATATATATATTTAATAGGTGTATATATTTGCTTTTTTTTTATGAAATTTTAAATTAATTTTTAAACGTATAATTTTATATATTTTTAAAATTTATCATTTTTAACTATATATATAAATATATTTGTATAAATTTTTATATGTTACTTATTACTGCAAAAAATGCCTTTGTATGACATTTATTTTGTTTGTATATCTATTAATTTTTTTTTTTTTTTTTTATATATTTTTTATTTTAATTGGTTATAAAATGTACCCTGAATATCTTTTCATATTTGAATTAACTTTTACAATAATTAAATTAAATAATATTCTTTAATTATTCTTAATTATTTATATGCTATCTATAACACTGAATGATTTTACTATTTTTTTTCAAAAAAAAAAAAAAATAAAATAAATAAAGCGTTATAACATATAAATTTTTCTTTTATATATATATATATATACTATATTATTTTATAATATACACAATTTAACTTTTAATCTTTAAAATTAAAATATAATTGAATATTTAAAATTAAACTGTATTTTTAAAAATTATGATTTATTCCTAATGTTATCATATTAAGACATAGTTAAAAAATTTTCATTAAGGAAACTTAAATTTTATTTTAATATTTAAAAAAAATATGAGAATAGTAAGAGATCATTTTAATAGCAAACGTTAATCACGTCTTGCGTACACCATTTTAATATTTTAGATTTAATAAAAATTGAGAGATACTTGTCTAAAAATAATTTTTTTTTTTTTTAATTTTTGCAATTTATAGGAAATTGAATATATTTTTACCGTAACAAATAATATTTTTTATACAATTTTTCTTGTTTTTTTTTTTTTTTTTAAATATGGAAGACTTTTTAACAAAACTGAAGATAATATCTGAACAATATAATAATTTGTTATTAGAAAAAAAAATAATAGACAAACGAATTGCAAGCATAGAAGAAAACATAACTAAATATGAAGAAACAAAACAAAAATCCATAAAAGAAGTAGAATTTAAAAAAAATCAACTATTAAAAAATAAAAATAAACATTTAATAAAATGTCAAAAAATGGAACAGCTAAACAATAGATTAAATGAAATACTAATAAGAAAACAAAGTATAGATGATGAAGAAGAAAAGAAGATAATAAAAAAACAAATTGACATGGTTAGCAATACATATGTTTTACTAAAAAATATTCAGAAATTAAATGATGTTATAATAAAAAATAATGAATATTACAAAGTCATAACTGATAAGATTCATAATAATGGTTTTAATAATAAAAAAACATTAAATATTTTAAATTGCTTTTTAAATAAAAGCAGAGCAAATATTCAAGATAAAGATTATGATAATTCTACAAATAATTTAAAAATAATACCAACTAATGAAATAACTAAAAATTTAATTTACTTGTTTTCAGAAAATCACACAACCTTAATTTTAGAAAAACAACAATTCTTATTTGTACTTTTAATGAATATTTTAAAAAAAATTCTAGAATCAAAAAAAGACACATATGATGAAAATACATCAAATGAAGTGATTCATAATTTTTTATATCAGAATTATATATCACTACAATAAATTTTAAGTGTTATTTCTATTTTTTGTATTTTTTTTTTTTTTTTTTATCATAATAATTTTTTTTTGTTATATTTTGTTTTAATTATTATGTTTTAATTATTTTTTTTTAATTATTTTTTTTTTTTACAATAAGAAGTTTTTTTTGTTATATTTTGTTTTAATTATTTTTTTTTAATTATTTTTTTTTTAATTATTTTTTTTTTTAAATATTTTTTTTTTTTTTTTTTATGAATCTTGTGAAGTAAAATATAAACATACATCAAAAATATGAAGTAGCTCTAAGTATTAGCTATGAAAAAAAAAAAAAAAAAAATGTTATTTTCATAAAATTTAAAAAAAAAAAAAAATTGTTATTACTAAATATATTTTTCTTGTCTACGTTGTTTACGATTATAATGTAATGGATAAAATTCATTTTTTTTTTCATTTGCGATATATTTACCTGTACTATTTAGAACATATAGTGAATAATAAGTTCTACCAAATTTTCTATTTCTTAAACCGATTAAATTATCAATTTTTTGAGGTAATAATTCTATTTCTTTTGGGTATTCTATAAAAATAAGACAATCATTATGAAAAAGTTGACTTTTTGATATGCTATGAATTAAATCACTATAAATTATCTGCTCATAAGGTGGAGTAAAAAATGCCAAATGAAATTTATCTTGTAAATCAAATTTAAAAGGATTTTTTAATAATTCAATAGCATCTGATCGTATTATTCTATTACCTAAATGACTCAAATTGCATAATTTCAAATTCTCATAAATAGTTCTACAAGAATTAATAGATAAATCAACAAAAGTAACATTTCTGGCATTTCTAGAAATACATTCAATACCTAAATTTCCACTACCACTAAATACATCAATTACATTTATATTATAACAATTGAATATCCCAAGATGAGTTAAAACATTAAATATGGATTCTTTAACTTTACTCATAACAGGTCTAGTGTAGGTATCTGGAGAATATATTTTTTTGTTTTTAAGTTTTCCTTCATGAATACTTAAAATTTTTTTTTTTTTATAATTTATATTTATTGTTTCACTGTATTTCTTTATTTTGCAATATTTATATTTCGTTTTTATTTTACTATTAGGTAATCTCAAAACTTTTAATTCTTCTGTTGGTAATCCATATATATCTTTTTTTATTATTTTTCTTTTACTTTTAATTTCATTATTGTTTATATTTGAATTGTCGTTAATAATTTTATTTTCATTTTTATCTTTGTCATTAATTTCATTTACATTTTCATTTTTATCTTTGTCATTAATTTCATTTACATTTTCATTTCTGAATTCTTCATTAATTTTATCTTTTTTAATCTTTTTTATGTGAATTTTATTATTTTTTTTAACTACATTTAATAATTTAAAAATTTTTATATTAAAGTGATCGTTTTTGATAAATCCGTATAAATGTTTGTCTAAATGAAACACATTTTTTATATATCTATCAGTCTTAATATTTTTATCTAATAAATAAAATTTATCTATATATATATATCTGTTTTTTATATATTTTGCATAACAAAATTTTTTATTTATATTGAAAAGAATAATAAGTAAGCTGCTAAATAATACAAACACTGTATATTTCTTAAAAAAAAGCATTTGTATTAATATATGTTTTTTCTTTGTTTCATTAAGTTACCTCTTTTTCATTCTTAACCTTATATGCTACTATTAATATATATGATACAATTAATAACTTTGCAGAAGCATTATTTTCAAAAGGAATTAAAAGTAATAATTGTAACGTTCTTAAATATTAAAATGAAAGAAAATTAACAATATTTAACCATTTTAAATTAAAAAAAATAATAATAAATAAAAATAATATTAAGATAAGAATAAAATTATAATAAAAAAAAAAAAAATAAGAAAAAATTATTAAGAATTGCGTTGTTTTTTTTTTTTTTTTTTTAAAAGTTTAAACATTAAATTCATAAACGTAATATAAAATCTTTTAATTGAATTTGCTTACATACCTACTTATAATAGTTACAAAAGGAAAAGAATCATATATATATATAAAAAAAAAAAAAAAAAAAAAAAAAAAAACAAATGACTATTATATATTTCAATAATAAAAATAAAATTGTAATATTAAAAGTAATAGTATCACTACGGATATGTAAGTATAAAAAAAGAATTAAAAATGTTATGGAAAATATTATTCAAAATAATATTCATTTTAAACGCATAATTGAAATTTTACATAATTTCAATAGTGTCGTACAGGTTTTTTACAATTTTTTTCTCTTATTTCGTTTTAATTTTACAATGCTTTTTATATATATTTGTTAAAAGCTAACAATTACAATTCATAAAAATATACTAAATATGAAAAATACAATATTTGAAGGATATTTATACTTTATATCTTATGTGTTATTTTTTTATCAATTTTTTTGAAAGTTTTTCTTTTTCATTCTTTTTAAATATACATTTTAGGTATAAAAATTTATGTTTTATTTCCTTAATGTAATCATTGAATCTATTATTTTTTAATAATTCAAAACTAGTGTAATTTTTTTTTTTTTTTTTAATCAAAATATGATTAATAATTTAAGTAGAATTAATTATTTGTCTTTATTATTTCAAAATTTTTTATTATATTTTATTCTTTTGCATTTTTATGACAACAAAGATGAAAAACATTACAAAATGCAAATTAAATAAAATTAACAAAAATATTTTAAATTTTATAAATAACAAAATTTTATTTATAGAAATATTTATATAACTAATATTTTATAAAAAATATATATATATTTGATAAAATATTAAAATTTAAGTCATAATTAAGAAAAAAATAAAACATAAAATATAAAATAAAATTTACTAAATAACAATAAAAATTAATAATTCATATTAATTCTTAATATTTACTTAGATACTTTTAAATTTTGCTAAAGTCAAAATACCCCACTTTATATTTTTTAAGATTTCCTCCAAACCTAAAATATATGTCTCCAAAGTATGAAAATGGGTTAGAAAAATCTGAAAAAAAAAAAAAAAAAATTAATATATTATAAATAATTATATATTATTTCATAATATTTCATATTATTTCATAATATTTCATATTATTTCATATTATCAAAAAGTGCAGATAAAAAAAAAAAATAAAAAAAAATAAATTACAACGTTTATAGGTAAGTGTTTCAAAATAAAAAATAAATTTATTACAATATTTATAGGCAACTATTTCATAATAAAAAGTAAAAAATAATCCTGGAACCTCAGAAGGAATGGAAATTATTAATCTTTTTTTTCCAGTTACAAAATTAAATGTTAACTTCCAACTTGGAGGTTTTTTGTTACGTTTAACATCTTGTCCATTTATAAGATTTGTTAAAGACTTAATAATCTTATCAGTTATATTAGGATTATAGGATACTAATATTTTATTTTTCTCTTCTAAATTTACATTAAACTTTATATGTGTATATTCTAATGTAAATTGGGTATAAACAAAATTAACATCAGAAAAATATTTTTTAAATGAAAACGATTTACTTTCATACTTTTGTTTGTACTTCTTTCTTAATTTGAAATATTGACATAAAGATTTTCCTCTTCTTGAATAAATATAAAATAACTTCCATTTAAAATCCTTTTCAAATTTATCATCAAAATTAAAATAAGCTTTTATTTGATAATCGCCAACTACATCTTTTTCTTTCAATTTAAATGATTTTTTATATCTCTCTTTAAAATTCTTATACTTTTTCTTTAAACCATTAAAAAAACGTTTTGTCCTACTTTTTTTATTTTTATAAACAAATCCATTAATATAATTTATTAAAAAAAAAAAAAATAATAAAAAATGCAACTTTACCATTTTCATTCTATAAAAAATATAAATTATACAATTTCAGAGCATATAAAAAAAATAAAAATTAAATTACTTATTATTTAAAATTCTAAAACTATATATATTTATATATATATTATATTGGTAAAATTATCAATTTTTTTATTATTTATTTTTTNTTAATTAACTAGATACTTAATCCTACAATTTTTCATTTTTTTCTTTTTTTTTTTTTTTTTTTTTCAAAATGTAGGTGGTATAGCACCTAGATGCACATAAATAGCAACATGTAAAAAAAAATATATATGCCTAAAGAATATTTCTAAATTAAAAATGAAGTGACTAAATTAATAATAGGATTAAAAAAAAAAAATGATCTACTAACATATGCCTTTTAATTTTTTAGAAATAAAAATTATAATAAGAAATATTATTTTGTAAAATAAAATCATTACTATAATAAAAGTAAATCTTAAATGAACTAAATGTATTGCTCATTTTATTATTCATTAAAATTAAATCCTTATAGTATACATATGTACTATATTCTATAATTTTTCAAATTACACTAACATATTTTATTGCCTTTTTTTTTAATCTTTCATTCAATTAAGTAATTTTATATATTTATTTTTCACTTTATCCATTTTTATAAAAATTATTTTCTATAATTATGTTTATATAATTACTCATGAAAGTGCTTCTTACAAGCACTCTCATATTAAACAACAAATACCTACACATAAATTCCTTATATACATATATATGTGAAAGTTACATTAGAATATACATATTCAAATTATAATTTCATTTATTTTTCTTTTTTACATAAATGAAAAAAAATTATCTTTTCATTAAAAAGATAAGTGCATTCTTTCTTAAAGAATTGTATATATTTTAAAAAACTAATTTCAATTAGATTCCTAATAATCTTTGTTCTTTTATATTTTTTTTTTTTTAAAATACTTCTAACCATATTATTACAGTGTTTTTAACAATACAAACACATTTGTAGGAATAAATTTAAATATACACAATTTTCCAAATTTAAAATAATGAAGTGTATTTTATTTCAATTTTTTTTTTTTTTTTTTTTTTTTTAAATTATAAAAAACATCACAAAACTGAAATAGCATTATTCTTTATTTATAAGCATGAAATAAAAATTTTAAAAAACTAAAAAACATAATAGTAAATTATAAAGATAACTTACATAATAACGAAAAATAATTGCAAATTTTTTACCTCATATTTTTGAATTAAATAAAAAAGAGAGTCATTGATATGATTAAAAATTAAAAAAAAAAAAAAAATAAAATAAAATAATATTTATAAACATTTTTTTCAATAAATAAAATAAAACCTATATTAATTAAAAAATCTATTATTAAATATATTAATAATATATTAAACTTTTGCAGAATACCCAAAAACCAAATGTTTTATATAGTTCCATTGAACACTTATAAATTATCATTTTAAATGATTTAGAAGTAATAATAATTTAACTTTTTTTTCTATAATTTTTTTTATTTCTATCCTATTATTAAATAAAAGATTCTAAAAATATAATTTTTTTTTTTTCACTTTTTTTGCTTTTACGTATTAACAAGAATTACGATATCTAAGGAATTTTTTATTCGTATACATAAATATATTTCATAATTATTTATCTATATTGTCTTTAGTTTTTTAAATTTTATTTTTTTTTTTTTTTATATTCCATTTATTTACAATTTATGTAGAATAGTTTTAAATTTTAGCTTTAAATATATATTTTAAAAAAAATTTACAGATATTTTATATGCATGTGGTAATTCTTATTTTTTGTATTCTACTTAAAAAAATGCCTCTTAATATGAAAATGAAATTTTATATAAAATAAGATGTAAAACACAATAAAAGAAAAAAATTAAAAAAAAAAAAATTAGGTAAAACATATCAGTAGTATTTAGCACTAGTTACTTTTAATAAAAATTGTAATTGTTGAATTTATTTTGATATTAATAATAAACTATTAATAAGTCATTCACAAAAAAAATGAGTAAGAAAAAAGTTTTTTTTTTTTTTTGTATCTTCTCCTCATTACTAATATATGCATATGTTTATAGTATAAGTATTACTCATATATCAAACGAAAAGGAAAAATTAAAATTAATAGAACATAATGATGCAAATGTATCTATTGCAGTCTTTAACTTATCCAATGAAATGCTTTATGTTGATCAGCAGCATTTTACAAATATTAAAAAGTTGCAACACATTCTAATAAAGTGCCTAAAATCAGAAAAAAAACATATTATAGATAATCTAGGAATAGAAAGTATAAAATTTTTGTTATTTGAGTATTTTAAGAAAGAAATGTATAATAATTTAACGCTTTTTTTTCAGTTCATTAAAAATAATTTTCATTACCTTAATAAAACAATATATGTAGAAAAAAAAAGATATAAATTATCACCAAAAGATTACATTGAAAATGATAAATTATTAGATTTACTAGAAAAAGTGATGAATTTTGATAAAAGAAATAATGCTATATATCTTGAAAAATTATATCAATTTAAAAATATAATGGAATGTTTTTATGTATCTATATCAATGAATTTAGAGAATGAAAAAAATCCAATAGTTTTATATATGAAAATAGATGATAGTAATAATTATATTAACATAAAAATAGATAATAATTTATTATCAAAAAGCATTAGCAATATTAAAGAAAAGGAATCTCTATATAGTGACAAAACTCAAATTCTTCCTAATCTATTAGATCCATTAAGAACAAATAATTTAACTTTGAGAATGCCAAGAAATTTTAAATGGCCATTAAATTATTTCCGAAATTTATGTGTAAGTAATAATTATAAAGTTGCTTCTGAAAATTGGGTTAATTATTTTTATAATCACAATGAGACTTTATGCCATATTGAAACATGTGGATCCGGTGACTGCTTATTTTTAACGTTAGAATATTTACTAAATGATAATGAAATAGCAACAGATAATATATTTTTAAATGAAAATATAAAAGAAAGTGAATATATTAAGTGGTATATAAAAAATATAAAGCTCCTAAATCAAAAAAAATTTAATGTTATTGATTTAAGGTATATAACTACTTATTTTTTTATAAAATATTTTCCAGGATATTCTAATGAAAATGATATAGATGAATCATATATAAATGAAAAATTAGATTTATTAATAAATCTTGAATTCATAAATTATTATTTAAAAAAAGATTTAATTTTTGAAATGATACAGAATAAAAATGAAAAAAAAAACATAAAAGAAAAGTCATTTTTATCAACCATATCAGATTTTCTCGTTAATGTTATACCATTTCGTAATTTTTCATCTAATAGTGATAATAATGATGATGATTATAATGACAATAATAATAATTATGATGATAATTATAATGACAATAATAATAATTATGATGATAATTATAATGACTATAATAACAACAATAATGATGATAATTATAATGACAATAATGACAATTATGATGATGATTATAATAACAAAAATAACAATTACAGTAAATGTTATTCATCTTCTACATCCTACTTAGATGATAACATTAGTAAAAATCTCTATTCTTTTCATGAATATGCTGATAATTGTAATAACAATTCTTTCCTTTCTTCTGATGATAATAAATATTATTCATTGTCATCTTCAGAACACAAACAAATATCATCTCATGATTTGAAAGATGTAAATAGAAACAAGAAAGATATAACTAGTAGATTAAAAGATTCAATACACAAATTAAATGAAAAAGAAATAGAATATGACTCAAAATTGGTAAATAGTTTATTATATAACACTAATGAAAATATAATAAAAAAGGATATGAATCAAGGTATATTCAATACTAAGAATGAAGAATATAGAAATGAAGATATGTATAAATCACGAACATACGAATTAAATAAAAACAAAAAAACAAACGAAACAATATCAAATAAAAAAGATCGTATTAATTTAAGTGAAAATAGGAATATTAGAGATTATAATGAGTACAATAATACTGAATCAGTTAACTTAGAGAGAAAAAATTATGATGATGAATATGAAAGTATTTTAGACGATATTGATAACTTTGGATATAGAATATATGAGTTGATTTTTTTTAAAATAGTATCATTATCAGATAATAAATTAACTTTAAATAAATTAAGAAAACTTAATAAAAAAAGTCTACAAGAATTAAAAGGAACAAATTTGAAAGTAAAAGTTATTGGATCACATGTATTTATGAAAAACATTGAAGAAGGAAATATTCTCCCATTTTATAATTCAGATAATATAAAAGATAAATTAAATAACCCTTTTAGTGAAGAAAATTATGCAAATAAAGATTTGTATGTGATTATATTAAAAACAACATTTGGTAAAAATATAAAAAGAAAGAGTGATGGAATAATTTCTAAAAGTTTGTTATTAAAACATGATGGAGATAGCATATCTTATTGGTCAATAAAAAATAATAAATATCACTTTACTAGTGACAATAAAGTAATTCAAACTAGCACCATTCAAGAAAAGGCATCAGCTTTATTTTATGAAAGAACAAGAACTGGTCATATTCATTGGGGAGATGAAATTGACTATGATGCATTTCAAAAAATGTTTAATATCGGTTTAATTACATTTATAAATGGTAGTACTGAATTTTTTTTTTCAAAAGATACTTTTAAAGAATACGAATTATATTTTTTAATCTACTTTTATTCAGATATTCATTTTGAACCAGGAGTTCACATAACAATAAAAGGAAATAATGCAAGTCTTAAATCTGCATATAAAAAAAATAAAATTCCTCATTCCTTTTTAGAAATAGTTAAGAAATAACATAAGAAAATAAAAATTGTATCATATAAAAATTTAAAAAGAAAAATATTAATATACAACAACAACATATATATATATATATATATATAAACTAAATAAGTATAGGTGAATTATTAATTAAAAAAAAAAAAAATATAAAAATTTTATTTTTTTTTTTTTTTTCATTTTTAATTATAACTCTTATTTGTTTCATATTTTTAATAGTTATCCTTATTTTGTTTTTTCCTTTTTTACATTTTCTTTTAGTTTCTTTTTTCTATAAATATTTGCTACAAAATTTTAATGTTCTATTTTTGATCTATTTGGTTTTTCATATTAATTTGTTATTTAGAAATTCTATATAAATAATTTTTTTAATTGTTATAAATAAAAAAAATTTTTTTATCTTTTTTTATAAATGGTAATTTTTTATTTTTAAAAATGAAAATGTAGGAATTCTGAAATTTCTAATAAGGAAAAAATTATTTTAATTTTTCTTTCCCTTTTTTCTAACATGATTATTCATTATAAATAAAAATTTTATGATAGTCCTAAAATGAGATACATAAAATGCTTTTAATATAAATCATTTTATGTTAACTTTTTCCTAAACATAGATTAACTATATATATATATATATATATTTTTTTTTTTTTTTAAAAATTAAATTGTAAATGATATATTATACTCCGTAATACGTGAAACTTCTTTTTATTTCTATATTACAAAATAATTTCTTTTTTAAATTCTGCTTTTCAACGAAACTTTATTTCTTTGAAATTGCTATGAATAAGGTGAAGTATTATATGTAAGCTATTAATAAATTTAATTAAAAGAATTAAATAAATAATAGGATCTAATTCATGTCTGAAAAAAAGCAAGTTGGTGCAAAAGACAACATTCTTGAATTATATATTCTTCTATTGAATTAGTGACATTACTTTAAATGTAAAATTTTTATTTTGATTATTGTCTTAATTATAGTATAAATATGAAATATATATATATATATATGTATATTAATTTTTATTTTATTTTTTTATTTTTTTTTTTTGGGAATTCTAATTTTTGTTTGATATTTATATTCTTTTTAATTTATTTAATTTTTAATAGAATTTGTTAAATACTTTAGTCTATATTTATTCTATTTATGTTATTAAATGCTATATATTTACTTTAATATTTTTTTAAAAAAGAAAACATATGAAAATGCAATAATTTAGCATATATAGTATTGATAAATAAGCAACCAAATATATATAAATAAAATTAGAAGATAATATATTTCTTGAATTTAAAGTTTAAAATTTCTTTCATTTGGTTAACAAAAATCAAATATATCTACATCTATTAGGAAATATAGATATACTATTTTTAATTTGTTATAAACACTTTTATTTTTAATTAAAACCTATATAAATTACTTGATAGTAATTTAAAGAATAGTAATATCCTTTTTTTAAAAAAAAAAAAAAAAAATGAATAAAAATAAAGTATGTTTTTTTCAAATTTTTACATTTCTAATAGTATATGTAAAATGTGTATATAGTACTAACATTCCTTTTTCTTCGAATGAGAAAAAGGAACTAAATTTATTCAAAGACATTTTATTTGATAATAAAAATGATATAGAACATTATTTTTTTCTAAATGAATTAGTATTAAAATTAAAAGATGCATTTAATATACCTAACTATGACTTAGATGCAAATGAGACAAGTATAGAATCTTTTGAAAGTATATGCGATTCTTTAAAGGAATTATATATTGAAATATTAAGAAACTTTGTATATAATGAAAATAATGATCAAAAAAAAGATTTAACAAAATACTCTAATATATTAAAAAAATTTCTTAAAAAAATTTATTACTTATTAAGTGACAAGAAAAGAGATGATATTAATATTGATAATGATACTTTAAGAATTTTAATTATTAGATTTTTATCTTCTATGAATAATATAAAAAATAATTCATTAAAAGATAAAAATGTTTTAAAACTTAGTAAGGTTATAGTAACAAATTATGCATTATATATTGCAAATCAAAATAAAGATATCAAAGATGTTAATGAAGATACGAATAATGGTTCTGAAACTATCCTCACAGATAACAACTTAAATGTCTACAAAAAAAATATTTTAATTCATTTTTCTCATAACACAAAACTAAAAATTTTTTTTTCAAATATTAATACATTGAGTGATTTAACAAAAATGTTTTATAAGTTTTATACACATTTTACAAATAAAAAAGTGATAGAAAAAGAAGTAAATTCTATAAAAACAATATATTTAATAGATGAAATATTGAAAATTATTAGATATATTAACACTTATATAAAGGATAATGGTATAGAAGGTATTTTAAACTCAAACAATTTTTGTATCAATATTCAAAACTCTTTTAAAAATATATGTGAAATTATGCCAGAAGAATTGCAAATTGGCGAATCTAAATATAATGTAATAGAAAAATTAACAATAGGATTTTTTGACATTTTAAAAGATATATATAAAGATAATAAATATTATATAAATTTAATAAATAAAGAAAAAACGAATATCAAAAGATACAAAGAAAATTATATGGATGGATTTGAAGAGAATAAAAAATTGAAATTAATAAAACATATAGATTCAAATGAATTTATTGCAGTCTTTAACTTATCCAATGAAATGCTTTGTATTGATCAACAGCATTTTACAAATATTAAAAAGTTGCAACACATTCTAATAATGTGCCTAAAATCAGAAAAAAAAAAACATATTTTAGATAATATAGGAATAGAAAATATAAAATTTTTGTTATTTGAGTATTTTAAGAAAGAAATATATAATAATTTAAAGCTTTTTTTTCAGTTCATTAAAAAGAATTTTGATTATCTTAATAAAACAATATATGTAGAAAAAAAAAGATATAAATTATCACCAAAAGATTACATTGAAAATGATAAATTATTAGATTTACTAGAAAAAGTAATGAATTTTGATAAAAGAAATAATGCTATATATCTTGAAAAATTATATCAATTTAAAAATATAATGGAATGTTTTTATGTATCTATATCAATGAATTTAGAAAATGAAAAAAATCCAATAGTTTTATATATGAAAATGAATGATAATAACAATTATATTAGCATAAAAATAGATAATAATGTACTAGAAAACAATGATAATAATAATGAAAAAAAAAAATTCCTATATAGAGATAATATGCAAGATTTTCAAAATTTATTAAATACATCAGAAATAAACAGCTCATTTATTCAGATCCCACAAATTTACAAAATTCCATTGTATCAATTTACTAATATATGTGATAAACGCAAAGAAAAATCTCCATCTGGTAATTGGATTCGCTATTTTTCTGAATATAATGAAACATTGTGTCTTATATTGTCGAATGATAAATCAACTGGATTATTTCCAGCTTTAGTAAGATCATTAATAATGAATAAAATAGATAAAAATATAATTTTAAACAATATTATTTCAGAATATAAACATTTCCTTCAATGGTATTTTACTAATATAAAATCAAAAAAAGAAAAATATTTAAATGTTGGCGATTTATCCATTTTTTCTACTATGTATAAATTTAAGTATTTTCCTAAATACTCCAGTAGTTTTTCCAGTATACATATAGAATCAATTTTTCCATCTTATATTAAAGATGAATTAGAAGAATTCAATTTTTTAAAAAATGAACCTAATGATTTAGATAGAAAAGGAAGAGATATAGAAAAAAGTAAATCACAGATACTTGATGATTTTTTTTCTGATAATCCATCTGCTCCTCCTCCTTCTCCATCTGATTTTAACTCTTCAACTCCTTTTTTTAGATACTCTAAACCATCTGCCGTTCCTCTTTCTGCATCTTTTAATAAATCAAAACCCATTTCTAAAAGGTATCTTAATCCGAATACTTCTCCTCTTCCACCATCTGATGATTACCTTGATTTTTTAACTCCACTTTCCTTTGAATATGATAATTCATCTGATTTTATTCCTACCCCTTCTACATCTACCGCTTCTACATATACCTCTTCTACTTTTACTGATTCTATTCCTTCCTTACCTACTGTTACATCAACTTTTTTGTCTGAAGATATTTCATCCATTGCTCCATATAGTTCTTTTGATTCTCCATATTTTTCTCATTCTCCTAGATCTCAATTCAAATTCATTCGTCCATATGATATCCCTCCTTCCTCAAATAATTCTCTCTATACATCTATACATACTACTCCGACTAATACTACTATTTCTACTCCTATTAATACGAATTCTCCTGATTCTATTTTGACTGATACACCCATTAGTACTAATACACCTACTACTGATACTATTTTTTCAACTCCATATTATCCTTCAGATTCTAATGTTACTAATACTACTAATTTGAATGAATCACATTTTGAAAGATATAAAAAAATACCGAAGCATAGATCTTCAATAAGAGCTTATAAAGTTGCAAGAAAAAGCAAAGAAAAAGCAAGAAAATTAAAGGATATAGGAAAGACGCAAAAAAGAGAAAAAAATTCACGTAATACCCTTAAACCTATAAAGTCTGCAAGTTTTGAATCTATGATGAATGAATTTGCTGATAAATTTAAGAAAATAGTTAGTACTAGTCATAAGAAAAAAAATGAACCTATAGAAACTGAAATAGAACCTTCAAAAGATATGGGAGATAATGAAAATATAGGAAAAACTAAATTGAAAGTGGGAAAAAATAAAGTTACGTTTAAATTAGATGATTCAGAAATAAATAGTTCAAAAGAACCTGCAAGTAATGAAGAAAATAAAGATAGTTTTCAATTCCCAAAAGAGACCGTTTTAGCAGATGTACATTCATATGTAGATGTAGATCCAGGTTTTAATTATGAAGTACATATATATGAAAATATTGATGGAAAATATGAAGATATTTTAAAAGATGTAGATAAAGATGGATTTAGAACATACGAACAATTGGTTATATCAGAATTATTATTACCGGAAGGTATTGATATAAATGAGATATCTCCTTCAGAAAGAGAGAAAATTCTTCATGAATCTGAAAGTAATCATAAATCTATAGTTGTAGGAATCCAATTATGTAATTTTCCGTATCAAGTGGGAGACTTTATAAAATTATACGATATGGAAGACATGATAAAACATATAACAAAATTGCTTGATGAAAGTAATAAAAATACATATTTTATTTTAAAAAGTAATTCTTACCTTAAAAACATAAAAAGAGATGATGGAGTTATTACAAAAAGTGTTAGATGTATTTCAAAAAATAATGCTATAAGCGCATATTCTATATGGAATAATGAATTTCACATATCTAATTATGGAATGATTTTAAAAACTCAAACATTAGAGGAAAAGGCTTTAGCTTATTATATTGAAAGAATATATATGGGATCAAATAGTTATTTATATAATGATGACGTAAAAGCTTTACAAGATATGCTTAAAGTTGGCTTCATTATTTTTGAAGATGGAGAACATATATTAAATGAAGGATCTTCTATTTATGGCAATTATAAAAATTTTCTATTATTATATTATTTAAATGAATATAATATTTTTTTAGCAAACCATATTGAATTACATGATAAAAAGGAAATTTGCCATACTGGTTATGAAGCTAAAGATTTACCAGATTCTTTAAAAAGTTTGATGAGCTAAACAGTCAGATATACAATTAATATTTTTACAAAAAAACAGGAAGAAATACAAGTTAAAATTAAAGAATGGAAAAAATTAAAAAAAAAGTTTTTTTTCTACTTATTTTAACGTTATATCCAAATTTTATAATTTTAATTTTGTAGGTTTTAATTTATTATTTTCAATTTATATATTTTATTTTTATAGTATTTTTTTTTTAAATATTTATCTCTTATATATATGTAATATTTTTTATCACTTAAAGAATATGAGTACACTTTTGATATATTAGTTTTTTTTTTTTTTTTTTTTTTTTTTATTTTTATGTTTTAAAACAAAAAAATATTTATTGTTACAATTTTTTGGTTACACTTTTTTTGAAAATTATATTTTTTTTTTTATTATACTACTATTCATATCTTTTATAAAAGAAATAATTTAAATAAGGTTTTAAAAAAAGAGTACATATTTTTAATACCTCCTGAGTTATTAATCCTGCTAAAAGTAGTGATACGCAGTTATTATTAATATTAGAATATTTATTATAAGTAATAAATATATTGTTAATTTTTTCTATATTTTGTAGTAAAAAGCTTTTATTTATATCTATTAATGAATATAAACGTACTATGGATTTTTCATTTTTATTAGACAAAAAGGATTTATATCTTATTTCCTGTTGATATTTTGTATTTCCTTTCTTTTTAAGGTTAACAACAAGAGGATTTTTATAAAAATTTAGGATATCATTTTTTTTATTGCATGACAATATTTTACTTTTTCTTTTTAAAATTTTATTATTTGAATCACATTTTTTTTCTTCAGAAGAACTGTCAGAAAAATATTTTTCATTTTTTAAGAGATGAACATTATTTTCATGAGTTTTTTGGTAAGAACTAACTATATATAAATATAAAAAGTCTAAAAAATTATTAAATATACTATTTTCATTTTTGTTGTTTTCTTTTTTCCTTATAAAATGAAAATTAGAAAAAAAATAAGTAAAATAAGATATATTAAATCGTTTCTTAAAATTATATTTTTTTCTTTTTCTATCAATTATATATTTAATTTCTTTTTTGTCTGATATGTTTCTTTTTTTTAAAATGTTATTAATATTTTTATCATTAAAGCTAAAATCAAATAAATAAGGCAACTTTTTTTTTTTTTTTATAAAGCTTTTATATACAACTAAGAATATAAATAAATGGGTTTTGTTTATTAATTTTTTATCCTTTAAAAAATAATTTATCCTTAAGATAATTTCATTTAAATTTATAAGAATATTTATCTTCTTCATACTAAAATGTAGGTTAGTCAATTCATTTTTTTTTTTAATAAATTCCAAAAAATTAATTTTTTTTTTATCTTTTAAATTACAAAAATCTTGATAACATTTAACTAAAAATAAAATTTTGTCTGATGGTGTGTTATTTGTAAAATAACTATATTCTATATTTTTTACATATTCTTTTAACTCATTATTTAATGAAATGGATAAATAGTAATAATAAGAAAAATCATCATTTTTATCATTATCCATATATAAGTGGTTTTTTATGCATATATTTAAATAACCTAGAAATCCATTCGAATGACAAGTAACAACATTTTTATTATTTTCTATACAAAGTTTTTCTATCATTAAATTGTTTTTTACTGATAAATTACAAACTATAATATCATAAGAATTATTATTCTTTAATATTTCGTTATGAAAATACTGTATGGGATTTTCAACAATACAATCAATATTTGCGTTTTCATTTATATTCATTAAATTATTTTTTATAACTTTACATCTATAATTATTTACTACATTAGTACAAAATATATAATATTTTGAATCATCAGAATTTGCTAATTCATTATCCACAATTGTTAAGTTACTAACTCCACTTAATAATAATCCTTTAGCAATTTCTAAAGTAATTAAATTGCTACCTAATATACATATAAAGTTACTCATTAAAATTTTTTGATGCTCTAATCCCCACAAAGATATTTGCCTTTTAAATTTTTCATAGTTTTTCATAATTTAAAAGTTAAAGAGTACATAATAATTTTTTTTAAAACTAAAGAATACAAAAAAAAAAAAAAAAAAAATAAAATAATAAAATAAAAAGAAAAATATTCTAATTAAATATAATTTATGAAAAATATATAAATAATTTAGGGAGTTAAATTTATACATAGATAAGAACACAAATGATTAAAAAAAGTAACACATTATATAAGATATAAATAAGTATATTTAAAAGAACAAACATAAAATAAAAATATTTAAAGTAATCAGTAATACGTATATTTTATATAGTTATATTAAAAAAAAATATATATATATTATTATCATTCTAATAAATGAAATAATTTTAAAATTATTTATTTACTTTTTTTTCTGCATAATTTGAAATACTTTTTTTTTTTTTTTTTTTTTTTTTATTTT